TCTCCCGCGTTACTCTCCGCCACTAGAGGGGGTGGCTAACCCATCCAACATGGCTGCCCCCATGTTAGTCCTCGACTATCCACAACAACAATTGGTGAGCAGGCAAAACACTACGAAAACGCACACTAATAGACACCGGACCTCACAAATAATTATACAATCACAAACACAGAATATTAACACACACCCTGCCCGTGGTTCCCAGTGAGCTACCTCACAATTACCTAGCTGGGAACCGTGGTGACCGGTGCCACCGCCACAGTTATATTATCTATATCTAAGCAAATATCTGGCACGCTTACATATATTATATCAGGAGTAGATAATAGAAGATCTATCTATTATCTACTCCTGATTATATATATAGGACTTTTAATATAACAGCACGGAAGAAGAATCAGCGAACAGTGTTATGAATATAGATAGCAGGCCTTGAATCATGTGTGCTTTTATTTCTTTCACTTCAGTAGAATGGTTTTGCTATCTAACAGAATATCCCTGTACTCAGGATTGTTTCTCTCTGTCTACTGTCTTATAGACTGTATCTAATTTCGATGTGAACTACGGACGATGAACTACCAAGAGAATTAATATAATAGCATTCATCTAGCTGGTGTATGGTAATTAAGTCACATTGCTGGAAAAAAATCTTAGAAAATTTTGACAATGAGTGTTTCTTCTGCTCATCTTGCAATAGGCATCGTCCAGCTGTGATGGAACGGTGAAAATCTGGACAGTGGCCGACCAGCTGTCTGAGATGACTTGGAACGTGTTGCCAAAGACTAATGACATCACATTCTCGAAGACTCTATGCCGTGTCTCTTGGAGTCCGATCACTGCTGAGGTATTCGTCATAAAGAAAAAGGAAAGAAATGTTTAGATGTCGTTTGAAATTTGCACTTAAACTTATCTTTTAACTCTCTATATAGCGCCAACAGCAGATGTAAAATGTAATTACATTTACTTAACTGCATTCGCAGTGCTTGGCAATACCAGTGGATAAGGAAGTGCAGCTAATGAAAAGGGACACGTGGGAGCTAGCACACACACTGACACATGAAGATATCAAAGAGGTATGTGAAGTAGTTTGGGTCAATAGGGTGATATGCAAACAATACTAAGGTTTTTCTAATCTGTGTGAATATAGTATTACTCATTTTGACTGCCTATGTTTGTTTACAGGTAGTATCCATAGCAACATTCTCACCCTGCGGAAACTTCCTCGCTGCAGCGTGTAGAGATGGGCTGATCTTGGTTTGGGATGTATCAAGCAGACAATGCATAGAAAGGTGCTGCAACATATTTTATTTGTATCATTTTGTTGTTATATCTTTAGCTGTGTAATCAGCTATTAATTGGCCATTATGATATGTTTTCTTGTTTGTTTTTCTTTTATTGAGCTCTATCATTTTCTAGTATATACAACACAGTTCACCACCATGCTTTACTTCTTTGCGGTTACTATTTTGCTGTTTCACTTTTTTTGTGTTTGCAGACAGCGTCATGACAAAAACCTCACAATCTGTAGTTTGGTTTGGAATCCAAAGAAGAAAGGAGAACTGGCATACAGTGATACACAGGTGATATTTATGACTGTGTATGCTATGTGATGATAATATATTGTCTATAATTGTATATAATATATACTCTCAAGGTTTTAGGCAAAGTTTTACCGATTTTTCATTTTCAACTTTATTGGATGGCTAACACTATGTGCCACATGTGTACATGCTCATTTCTCCATATAACGGTACATGTGAACTTCCAGAGCGTTTTGATTATCCACGTACATGTGTAGTAAGCTGCGGCTGACGTCATGATGACGTCAGACACATGATACAACCAGCAGGTTCACGATATTCACTAAGCCAGTACTTATCATTCAGCGTCAACCCTGCTATCTGCTAGTATCAAGCTGTCATCTGTTAGTGATCCAACAAGTATCCCACGTCTTCCAAAATAGTTCTCACACCTCGCAACACACCTTACTGTGAGGCGCGCATTTGTTGACATTTCTTGGTAAATATGAAACTTAAATAAAAATCCTGATGCCCTATTTTGGTACATATTGTGCTGGACATGTGGCGAACATTTTGTATTATCACTCTTTCTGGTAATTGAGAAATATCCAAAATACCATTTTTACATAAAAATTCAAAATTTGTGCGGTGACATAATTAGGTACTGGAAATTTCATGAATTTTTTTGGCTTGAGCATAGAGATATATATATCTCTATAAATAAAACAAGTGATTGATTCGATTCACTCCTCAACAAACGTTTAATCTTTATTAGAGCAATACCCGTGCAAAAGGTGGAGAGTATCCTTACTATAGTGTGATAAACAAACCATAATCTGCAGTAATCTCTTTATATTGTTTACCCTAGATACAAGAACGCAACAGCAGCTGCCACTATAAGTGCTTTGTGATGACTGTGTCATAATTCATAGTACAAACGTAATTTCATAATTTTTCCTACTACAGGGTCAACTTGGTGTGATAGGTAACATAATTCCAGAGGAATACCTGTCAAAAGTAAGTATCCTGTAAAAGTGCCACTTCCCGTTAAAGTTCTGACAAGTGTCTTGTCATGATCTTGCTGGAGTTATGGTAAAGGAACGTGAACAATCCTCTTTAGATGCTTTACAGCCAAATGTAAAACCGCGATTCTTAGCGAAACTCGTACGCTCTGCGTTTCTTTCTTGTTGGTGATTTCGAAACTCGCAAATCGGCTACACTGGTCAGTATGGCACGAAGGGTCGTCGTCGTAACAGGTACTACAGATATGTACCCGAGGTAGTTTTAGGTTGTTTAGTATTATGTTTATATTTTTATATGAGGTATGTTTAGGGTTAGGGTTAGAGTTAGGGTTAGGGTACACTTCTGTAGTACAAGTCTGGTACACTTTGTGTATACATATATGTACCTCGGGTACAGGGCTCGAATTAACCGACGGCACCAACGGCAATTGCCGGCGGTGCCCCTATCAATCGCCGTACTGCCCCTAAAAATCCAACCCGACCGACGGCAGTGACCTGCCTTGCCCTTTTCTGTAATTGCCGTCGGTGCCTCTGCCTCTGGCTAGACTGGTTTGCGGCCGCACTGTTTGTCGCAGAGCGTGTACATTCTCTAGCAGAGCGTGAGGCCGGATACCAGTTTACCCGGCGGTAAAAACAATAACGTGGTATTTAGGGGTGTAACGATATACCGGTATATCGGTATATTGCAATATATTTTGAAAACTCGATATATCGCGATACAACTTCCGGATATCGATATTTTACGATACGGTGGTATAACAAGAAATAAACTACTTGACACTTGCCTTTATGTCTATATTGTTAATGGGCTCGAAAATTATGCACTGGCGGTGTATATATTACGAAAGCACAATGCCTGCACGACGCATACAGTATTACGCGACCACTGCATGGAGCACGGCGCGCCACTACCGCGCGCAGGCAGACGTGTGAGCGAGCACGTCAACCAGGGAGTCTATATATAGCCTATGCTCGCCTGAGTCCCCGCGCGCGCGCGCGATACAAGCTGGAGCGAGCGCCCACTATTGTTCAACGATACTATTTTACTTTGCTGGCGCGCGTTCGGTCGAGCGCACGCTGGTTCCAAGAACACGCATCGATCGATCTAATATCGCAACGAGGCAGCCAAAATGGCAGCGCCTGTAGCAGACGATTTGTTTGAGATTATCCCCAATAAAAGGGCAAAAGCTGATGTATGGCAACACTTCGGATTGAAGAGATCCAAACTTGATGGTAGCGTTGTTAATAACATTGCTGTATGCCGCCACTGTGATGATCAGATAAAACACAGTGGTGGCACAACCAACTTGGCGGTGCATGTTCGTCGTCACCACCCAGCGTCTGCTACAAAACCTGGCAGCAGCAGTGCTACTAAACCTGCAAGTTTCCCCATCACTCCAAAGCTGAGTCAGTCAAAGTTGCCAAATTTATTTGGCACGAACTATAAAGCAACATCAGCACGCGCAATTAGCATCACAGATGCCATTGGGAAGTTCATTGTACACGATCTACGCCCATATAGTGTGGTGTCCAATACTGGATTCAAACGCATGGTATCGGTGTTGGACCCCAAATATACAGTACCAACTAGACAGCACTTTTCTGAACGTGTCATACCAGACATGTATCTGAATGTAAAGCGAGAAGTTAGAGCCAGTCTGTCAAATGCCACACAGGTAGCATTGACAACGGATGGCTGGACATCCAGAGCTACAGAATCTTTCATAACCATAACGTCCTCTCACATTTCTGCAGACTGGAAAATGGAGTCTTATGTTTTACAAACTAGACCCCTACCTGAGAGCCATACAGGTGTAAATGTGGCGGCAGTCATCAGGGAAGCTATTGTGGAATGGGGCATTCCCCCAAATCCACCATTAGTCACTGACAATGCAGCTAATATGAAACTGGCTGCTGTTGAAGCTGGCTGCATTCCCCACGTCGGCTGTTATGCACATACGCTCAACTTGGCAGCCCAGAAAGCCCTCAAAATGCAGTCAGTTGCCAGACTGATGGGAAGGATAAGGAGAATTGTGTCATATTTTCACCGCAGTTCACAGGCAGCTGCCATCCTAAAGACCAAAATCAAGGCACTCAATTTGCCAGCTCACAAGCTCATCCAAGACGTTGCTACACGGTGGAATTCTTCAGCTGATATGATCGAGAGGTTTCTCGAATTGCAGCCAGCAGTCTATGCAACACTTGTCAGCAAAGAAATGAGAAACAGGGAAAAAGACATTGCTACACTAACTGAAACTGACATTACACATGCTGAACAAATCTTGGAGTGTCTCAAACCACTTAAAGCAATTACAGTCGCCTTGTGCACAGAGAAAGTGCCAACAGTGTCCATCATCCTTCCCCTTCAACGTCAACTTCTGGGCAGGCTAATGGTCCCAGATGATGATGATTCTACCATGGTGAAGGAGCTAAAGGCTACTATCGTCCAAGATCTGTCTTCCAGGTATTTAGTAGCATTGATGTATTCCAATCTTTAACTTATGTTATTTACATTTCTAAATGTAATTTATTAAAAACAAATTTTTAATAATTATCTGTAAAATTTTAAATTTACATTAATTTAATTTACTGTTCATTGTTCAAAGTTTTCTCAGTCACAATTCTGTACAGAAGCTTGTGTGTTTTCTGTTACCAGATATCAGGATAGAGAGGTGAAGGAATTCTTGGAGTTGGGCACTGCAATCGACCCGAGGTTCAAGGATCTCGCATTTTTTGAGGAGGATGAGCGACTGACAATCTACACTCGACTGGCAATGACCGCAGCCCCAGCTTATGACAGACGGATTCAGCAACAAGTCGTTGTGAAGCAAGATCCTGTTCCTGATTTGCCTGCGCTTCCAGGACCCTCAGGTAAGTTGTCAACTATAATATATTGATAATAGCTGCTACAAGTCATTGAGCAGCAATTAAATTATTAATTTATTATAGTTAAAATTTTACCTAAGGTATCACTTGCATATTTAATAGAAATTTACAATTGGTTGAAAAGTCACTGTCCCAGAATATTTGTTGGCGTTTTACTAGTTGTTTAATTATGGTGTTAAACTGTTAATCGGATTTATTTGTGGCTTTACTGGCTTACATAGACAGTTAATGACATTTTACATATGTCTATTTTCAGATGACACGGATGCTCGGACCAGCCCAGTCACTGTACATCCTAGCAGGCAGCAGGCCTTGTGCAGCAAAGAGAGCCCCAGTCTGGCTTCAATACTCGGGGATGTGTTTATCGTTAAGGTAGAACAGAACAGAGTCAAGACCTCACTTGAGCGAGTTCGGGCGGAAATCGAGGGTTATAGAGCTGATGTGTCCATAGACCTTGGTCAGAATCCTCTGCTCTGGTGGAAGGAACATCAGTTTCAGTATCCCGTATTAGCTAATTACGCAGCAGGGGTATTGTGCATTCCAGCCACATCAGTGCCTTCCGAGAGAGTATTCAGCACAGCGGGGGACATTGTTACGGCACAGAGGGCTTCACTGTCAGCAGAAAACATTGACGTGCTTCTGTTTCTTAAGAAAAACATGAAAAATTAAACCAGGTCATATTGCACAATGCACATGGCACTTCCAGTAACACACCGTCCTTCCTGTTACACACCGTCGTATCTGTAGTGTAAACTCACTAACTGTTAACCATATTAGCTTGTTCTTGTTCTTGAAGTTAAGACTGTAGCTTGTTCTTGAAGCTAAGACTGTAGCTTGTTCTTGAAGTTAAGACTGTAGCTTGTTCTTGTTCTTGAAGCTAAGACTGTAGCTTGTTCTTGTTCTTGAAGCTAAGACTGTAGCTTGTTCTTGAAGTTAGACTGGTAGCTTGTTTGTTTCTTGAAGCTAGCTGTGCTTGTTTTCTTGTTCTTGAAGCGTAAGACTGTAGCTGTTTCTGTTCTTGAAGCTAAGACTGTAGCTTGTCTTGAGTTAAGACTGTAGTTGTTCTTGTGCTTGAAAGCTAAGACTGTGCCTTGTTCTCTGTTCTCAGTTGAGTTACACATGACACACTGTCATATTAGTAAGTGTAAACTCAAACTACCACTAAATGTTAAATGTAGCTTGTTATTAAAAACTTATTATTCTCATCAACATTGACAATTTGACACATCGTCATATTTTTACAGTGTCAACAGTGGATTGTATCTGCCTGAAAAGTCAACACACAATAAATAAAAACAAATGACACTGACCAATTTGCTAGATGTAACCCAATTTGCTTTATTTTGTGCTACAATCACTTTACAAATGCAAATTACATAATACATATATTGACGATAAACATTAATATGTTACTTATATGTCATGGCATGTCTACACTATAAAGTGTACACTTCCCAATACGTATTGGAAAATATTGCAATACGGTTTTGTCGTATTGCAATATATTGCAATACGGTTTTTGGTCGCAATACTCACCCCTAGTGGTATTGCTGCCAACCGCTGCCAGTAGACGATCGATAAATAGTGCACCTGTGTATGCCCGTGGTAGAACACGAATATTTAAATGCTGCACGCCCGGACTCGGCCCGCGTGCGATTTAAAGCGCGGGAAACGACGCTCGCGCAAGAATGGCCAGTGATCTGAACGGTGTGTAGCTTGCTAAGTGCAGTAAATTTAGAGAAATTTTAATAGAATTCATACGATGACACAAAGCTTTCCATAACAATGGCCTTGGTGCCCTTCTCAAATTGTGAGAGTTGCCTTGATGCCTTTTAAAATTGCCTCGGTGCCCATCCATTTTAGAGAAAATTCAAGGCAATTTCTCACATGCCCCCAAAAAATTGCCTTGCCCCTGTCGTCGCTTAATTCGAGGCCTGCTCGGGTACATATCTGTAGTACCTGTTACGACAACGACCCCTTGAGCGTCAGTATGGTGCTGCCTTCCAGGAGAGAGCCGCGAATGTTGGCCCGAGTGCTGACCTGTTTGCAGACAGCGACGATGACATGCTGTTGACCGCAGCCGCGCAGGCAGGAGACGCTGACGATGACGATGATGATGAGTTTGACTTTAGCAAGCAAAAGAAGAGGCTACAGACTATACTAGATGGGGAAGACACTATGGGTGAGTAGAAAACATGTTATTACTTATGCATTGCTATAACTGTAGTACATCTTGTGACTATAACACAGAATATCTCGAGTTTAATTTTAAACTGTGTTAATTTGTAGTTTAACATTGTTATACGGTTCCCATAATATGCTGGATGCTCATACCCTATCTACAATGTAGGTATGAGTGCTGTTTGACCGGGTAACATGTGTTTGGAATAGTGAGGGGGAGACCCAAGATGTAAAATATTGTTAATTATATTGGTTTATATGGCTGGATTTCGAAGTACTAGTACATTTCTTATATTGTTTGTCACCAATAACCAATTGCTATTGTGGGAATTACCATGTATGCTACCATACCTAAGGCTGTTGTCGGCCGTGCACGACATGTATGACACCAGAGAAAGCCTATATATAACAATGCTACAATTCTTTATTCACCGAATCCACGCCGTCCATTTACAACCTTCCATTCCTGCGTATCCCCTATCCTCAGCCTACCTGAGGCTCTCCGCGAACTGCCGAACTGATTACCAGTGCTAAGATTTTCAAGGCCTGCTTTCTTAAAACGAGTTATTTCTTAGATTCTGCTGTGGTTCCCATCGCAACAGACAAGATGGCAGCTGGTGGCGATGCTGCTGCAGTTATTCCGATGCTGCCTCGGGCAACGACGCCTCTGCAGCCCTCATTCCAGCCTGGGGCGACCCCCGTTGAGTTGTCTCACCGCTTCATGGTGAGCACAAGAGGATATACTGTCAGAAAGAATAGCAGTAGCAATTCAGCAGCTACGGCTGCATTGTCTCACAATTCCTCGATCATGCCGCGTCAAGTGCTCAAGAGTGTTAATGTTATTTTCATCATTATTAGCATCATCCAGCGAACTTTGTAATGTATTGTGAAGTTGTTAAACAAGGTGCCCTAGCTAAACCTACCCGTATAAACAGTGAGGTTTATATAGCTTTAATTGTTAATGGCTATGGCTTCATACGTTTATATATATTATGTGTTTGTATATTTATATTTTTTTAATTGTGGCTACCATGATTAATAATCGGGCCACACTTCCAAGAATTAGTTTTTGCTGCTCTGCTACTATGCACGATATTTGGCTATAACCTACCAATAAGCAAGATATTTTTATTGCAGGCCTCGTAACACGGCAGTTAATTACGACGCAGTGATTTTTTTCTCTACAGGTCTGGAACTCCGTTGGCATGGTGCGCTCGTACAACACCGAGGAGGAGAACAGCATTGACATTGTGTTCCACGACACCGGCACCCATCACACCATGCACATTTCCAACCAATCGCAACACACCATGTGTGACATCTCCGCAGAGGCTGTGCTGCTCGCCTGTGAGGGAGACGCAGACGAATATGTGCCTACTCCCAGGTGAGGCGACGTCACGTGGCGGGGAAAGGGTTATGAGGTGGTATCAGAGTGCAGTTGGGAGATGAAGGGATAGGTTTTAATGTAGGAGAGTAAAGGAATTACCAGGTTATGCATGCCACAGCGTTAGGATTGCAGATGAAAGCAGAATGATATGATGATAACGATTAACTGTGTAAGGAATTCATTTTCATTTCCCTGTCTCATTAACATATACAAATTTGCTATTGCAGTCAACTCACGTGCATGCACTACTCCTCTTGGGACAGCTGCAAAGATTGGAATGTCACTATGCCAGAGAATGAGAACATTAAGGCAAGCTATGCCAGTTTGCCTAAATTTTGATAATTACATTTCTTGTGGTGTTGATATCTTCCACGAGATAGAGATTATTTTCTCGCAACATTACTGCTTTTACGTCTTCTTTGTAGTTTTTTGTTATTCATCTATATACGATACATATTTGTTATTGCTATCAAAAGTGTTACTGTCTCTGATCATAGCTGGTGCTAGATAGTGTGTAAGATATGAATGAATTCTTGTTAGCAGTTAGTAATCTGCCCCAACATCTCGGGGAGGTGATTCTGAACGAAAATTAACTTTTGACAGCATTTGATGTGTTTTCTCATCATTTACAATTAAAGCGAAATTTCGTATTTTGATTTTAATTCCTTAAATTCACTAAAAAAGATTCCTCACAGTTAAAATCGGTGAAGCCCATCGGTTAGGTTACAGCAAACAAGAACACATTTAAGCGTGTCCACTGTCACATGGTTCCTATTAATCAGTCGTTGGTTTTCTATCTGATAGGCTGTCTGTCTCGGCACGAGCTGGGTTGCCGTGGCAACGGATCAGTTCAACCTGAGACTCTTCACGGTGGGTGGCCTGCAGCGTGAGATATTTTCTATACCTGGACCCGTGGTGTGCATGGCTGGTCACAGTAATCAGCTGATAGTTGTCTTCCACTTAGGAACAGGTGACGTCCATTGTAATTTTCTATTAAATAAATCAACTGATGTCCTCAGGCCTACCCCAAACTCCTTTATTCTGTGTTGTTGATTTTCACCTGTATGGCAGAGTGCATATATGCCTGTTTCATATTAGTAGCATTGTCCAGTCCCGAGGTTAGGGGTATTTATGCAATTCCTTTCATTCTTATGCAAGAAACATGAAATGTTTTCCTTTTTTCTAGTGAGTGATTAATTATTTGTTTTCACTTGGATTATAAATCTTGCTGTATCTTGCTTCAGGTGTTCCGGGTGACCAGTGTTTGGGTGTAACATTGATGCACCTGGACAAGACTGTCAGTCCGGTACTCGATGCACTAAGGCTGCCCATTAGCCCTAAGTCTAGGCTGTCGTGGCTCGGGTGTGTGCATGTTTCAATCTGTTCTAATGCTGCCTGTAAAATTTTTTTTTGTCATACTTTATGCCCCCCCTTTTCTCGCTGGTTAAATCAATTTGTACGTGTATATGACTATGTGCAGAGGGACTTTACACTGCATGATTATCTTTTCAACAAATTCTTGAGAAACCATGTTGAATATCTCCTTGAGAAACTATCTGGTTCCTTCCAATCAATTGATAAGTTATTTGCAAAGAATAATGGTGTAGAGAGTACGATGTATTGTGTTTAGTGAATAATCCCAGGACCCTGATGGTCGTAAACGCTATATTCTTTCCATTTCAGTTTCTCTTCAGAAGGCACACCAGTCACGATGGACTCCTGCGGAATTGTGCGCATATTGAACAGGTCCTTCCACAATGTCTGGTCGCAGCTCGCAAACACAAAGTCACAGGTAGTGTTTCCATTATTAATGCTCTGCTAGCATGTGATTTCAGCTCAAGGAGCTCAGCTCATGAGAGAAGAAATTTCAGCTTAAAATTCTTCATTTACAATTCAGAATTGTATACGTGTACGCCCTAGAACAGGTTTAAGGGTCACAGTAGATGCCTTACATGTATATTCATGTGTCAGTAGGTTGTATTTAAAATCTGTTTAGGTGAAAGGCAAGTCAGATAACTTCTGGATGGTCGGTGTGACAGAGAATCCAGCCCAGCTCAGGTAAAGCAATAACAGAAACACTCGATGATAAGACTAACAAATCAAGTGTCTACATTGTAGTTTGCTGATTATTAAGCTTAATCATTAACAATACTACACTGTATGTGTGGCATTTGGGAAATTTCATTTCCTACCTTTACCTGCAAATGAACTCTTGGCTAGGGTCTCCACAAATGGGATGTCATAATCATTAAACAGTGTTTGATACTGTTTTTCCAGGTGTATTCTCTGTAAAGGGAAGACCTACCCTGCAACTCTTCCACTGCCTATCGTTACACTTCAGCCATGCCAGCTTCCACTCTGTGAAATGTCGACAGAGAAGAGCCAGCAGGAGGTACTGTATGATGGTATATCACTGCCGACACAGATGAGCATCTTAGAACAAGATTCCGATAAGTCGGTCGTTAACTCCGTAGACGTTACACCAATATACACCAAGTTATAGATCCCCATAGAAACATGCGGTGATATGTCACGGTTTTAGGTATATACAGTGTGCATATAGATAACGTGTGTGTGTATAGAGAGCAAGATGCAAAAAGAGTGAAAGCAAAATAGCAAAAAGAAGAGAAGAGAAGTGTAGTAAGAGGAAGAGTGAGAGAAGGGGGGAGAGAAGCAGGAGAGAAAGAGACAGCGAAATATTGAATAGGACTGTGGGTGACCAACCGTCTTCGTTCTTGCATCTATTCGCACGAGTGCAGCGTAATAGTTTAACCATGAATAAATGCGTCGATACGTGTTAACGCGTCTGACGGTGGTTACGATCGTTACAGGAGCAGCTGTGGCGTTCGCGGCTGCTGAGCGGCCATCTCGGCTACCTGCCACGACTGGGTCTGGAGTGCGAGGAAGATGCTGTAACTGAAGCCATTGCTGCCCAACAGGAGGTCCTCATTAAGATGTTTGCGGTGAGTGTTCTGATGCAGCAACCTCAACTCCTTATACATACTGGTGTGAAATAATTTTAAAATGAAAATGAAAAGCTTCTCATGCCGCGTGCATCGAGCGTATTGAGCGGAATTTTTCACCTATTTCTTCACACTTGCGTTTCGTATTCGTCAGCTTCATTTCGGCTTGTTACGTTAGTCTGATTCTGCAACTGCCAGTAAGCGATGTGTGTATTTAAATTTATACGCTGACGTTTAGGTATTATTGGCTGGTTGGTTGTAACACTGAAGTAAATCAGTAGTAAGAAGCATGTATTGGCATAGTTACATGATCTGATAATACCTGAATAAATAGGTATTATTAGCTCTTGATAGTTACCATAAAGATAATAAGTAATGAGTCACACCACTCGGCCAACATCCTTTCTAAGAACAGTACGTCGTCATGGTTACAGCTGTGCTGTCGCTCGGAGCGTGAGTTCAGGGCAGCAGAGATCTGCGAACAGTACATGACAATGCAGGCTCTACAGCTGGCCATCAAATATGCCAGTCGCATGAAGCACACCTCGCTCGCTAACAGGTAGCTATATAGATCAGGCTGCAGTCCAGTCGTACTTGACGCTTTGTGATTCGTCACGAGGTGAGAATACAGTGGTCTACACTTCATCGGTACAGCTCAGAAACTATGAGAATTTCCCGATTAAGTGGTGGTCCCCATCAGGCTGTGAGCACATTTCCAGTTGCACATGCAGGCCTGTTGTTTGTAGTTCACGCACTGTATAATATACAGTGCATAATACATAAGCGTTTTGCTCTAAAAAATGTTTTGTGAAGGGATAATTTCACAATGTTCACTTGAGAAAGAAGAAAGTTTGTTCTTCGAAAAATATCCCATTTAACTCAATTCCTGTTCCATTTGTTCGATTCAAATAATGTGCGTAAGAATTGTTTTTCAAAGGCATGTCGTTCAAATGACGCGTCCGTTTATCCAAAACCCGATAAAGCGGTATAATGAGCTCTTGCCGATTTGTGTGTTAGTGATTAGTTACTTGTTGTTCAATTGGAGTGATAGTTTTGCTTTAATGGTCAGCCTATTAATTTGCAGTGATTGATTTTAATCTAGGCTCAATGATCTGATGAGGTATCGCATGGAGAAAGAGGAGGAGGAGGAAGAAGCTGCGCGAACAGAGCAGGAGGCAGCAGATGATGGGGATTGTGACTTCAGAGCTGCCATCAATGCTGGGTATATATGGCCTCTTCCTAAAAAGAATTAATAAAAGAATTGATTTAAAGTACTTATTTCTTTGACCTTCGATAGTTGGTAAGTGACAGCAATGCTTAGACAGTATTTAGGCAAATATATATATGCCTATCTGGGCGTGCGTGTCTACGATCTGTCCTCGGGGTAGTCCGAATAACCTGCTTACCCTGTATAGTTAAACATCACTCTAACCATTAGTCTCTTCTGGAAGGTATAATCATTCGGAAACTGAGTGGGCGCAGGATCGCTTACCACAGCGGAATGGCAGACGACAGCATCGAGATGATGAAGATAAGGATGAAGAAGCTGTGGATGATGATAATGAGGATGCAGAGAACGAAGACGAGTCTGAGAGTATGTAGTCGTGGGGCAACCGTGGCTTCTCTGCATCAAGTACCAGAACAAAGAAGCATTAAAATTAGAGTGATTCAAGGGTTTATACATATGTTATTTTGATTTGTATTCGAGTAATTTTCTTGCAAGTGTTTGTTTTTGTGTGTTTCAGCACTTATATCATATGTACCTAAAAAAGCAAAGATGCCTCAACGATTCTTAGCTTCAAGCGGAACAGTGACAAATCCATTTAAGGTCTGTTGTATATTCATGTTTGTAATACCCACGATGCCAACATGTATTTTCGCTCATAGGGTCTATGTCCCCCAGGGTACTGCCGGAACGTACCCTGGGTACGGTCTGGTATACCGGAACGTACCCTGGTAACTATTTGATATGGTTAGGGTTAGGGAGTAGGCGTAGGCGACTCCCTAGACTCGTTAGTGGAGTAGGCGAGGTACGGTCCGGCATATTAGATAGTACCAGGGTACGTTCCGGTATACCGGATCGTACTCAGGGTACGTTCCGGCAGTACCCTGGGGGACATAGACGCTCTCAGCTATATTTTCAGCATCAAAACCTAATACTCAACTATCCAAGTACCTGAAGTTAAAAAAATGTCAGAATTTGTGCTATATCTGGGCACTTGCAGATTCATTTATCAGTTGCTATTGCTTCCAGAGTAGTTGTAGGAAATACTACGTCAACAACACACACAGGGAATGCCACCGCTCATTCTAATTGCATAAGGGAGTGCCACTACTTACCATAACTGGAAAGCTTCATGCTCTGCTCCCGGGGTGTTCATATAGACTAGATAGTAGATGAGATTCTATGATTCTCATTTATTCCTCGTTTTTTTCAGGTCGCCTCTCAGATTGAAGCCACTCCACCTGTTACTTCTGTGAGGGGCACTGGCATCTTCGACAGCATGCGCAAACCGACACAGAAGAGCCAGCAGTCTTCGTGGAAAACCGTGCCTAGTCTGGACAAGAACAGGCAGCAGCAGCGCAAGAAGAAGGTATAGATAGACGTTCCTAGTTCGCATATTCTGCCATTCACTGCAGTTATCGTATATATATATATATGTGTGTATATATTATATTATATTATATATATATATATATATATATATATTATATATATATATAATATATGTATAATGTATTTGCTGTTTCTGCAGAACTGTAATTATCAGCTCCACTCTGATGCAGTCTGTCACAGTGCGTGTGCAAAATATGTGACTCTCTCTTTATGTGTTATGTGATTGCAGCAGGTGAAAGCAGCATCAAAACAGCAGAGTCTCACCGACACTCTAAAGACGGCTGTGCCAAACTCTGACGGACCAAGTATGCCAAACCAAACTGCATTTAGGTATAGAAACTAGTATTAATCACCTCGTGTACATAGTTTTGAAGTTGTAATATCGTTATGCTATAGACCTTTGATCCGGTGGAGGTTCATCTTCATGCAATGTTTAGGGAGATTCACCTGACGTGAAAAACGATACAGGTTTTTTAGGGCTGATTTCCCCACAAACACAACAGAAGCCATGATTGTGAAATTTACACATAGTTGCTTACACCATGCAGATGTAAAATGCCTGGCAGTCCTAACTACGTTCAGTAGATATACTCTGAGTCATGCTATTATTGTTAATAACTAATTAATTATTTTTATAATTAATATTAATTAATATATTAATATTAATTAATATAATATATCAATAATTAATTATAATTAATAATTTTTGTTATTGCCTATTTATATACTAACATGAAGTCCTTGACTTTTTATCGTGGAGGAGAGTGTCTGGCCTGCAGCTGTGGCGGGAAGCGAATAGAGATGAGATACGAGAAGAGCATCCAGAATTGGCCGAGGACGATGACGAAGACCATGCTGTCGCTAAACTCTATGTGCAGTTGTTCAAGCAGCTGCCGAAAGAAGAAAGAGAGGTGAGGCACACTATGTTGCATAGCTGGTTGCTTTCTTTGCATTTTTCAGACTAATTGCAACGAAAATGTGTCTGTGCGCACATGCGGGGGGGGGGGGGAGTACCTCCCTTTGCAAGTAAAAAACCATAACACAGTGGAGGGCATTCACGTTTAATAGTTAGAACGAATACCCATTATGTCATCTTGCCAAGTCAGTATAGCATATAATTACAATTTTTTCCACTTGACACGTTTGGGAAGGTTTGTGAGTGAGAGTGAAACGTTAAAACACAGATTCACTATTTTTCAGCAATGGAACGAGAGAGCAAAGAGTGAATTGTCGAGGCCAGCTATCGTGGAGTCTTCGCTGAATAGGAAGCGAAAGCGAGATATTGAAGGAGAAGAGGAAGAGAAGGAGGATATGGATGCATCCTCGAAGGACATAATCGACAGGCCAACGATAATCAGACCAACCAGCGGCTCCTCAAAACTATCTAGTTTTGCCTTCAAAAAAGACGAGTGAAAATCTTTGGTTAGAGATCCCAAGTTATACTATTGTCTCTTTCATATGATACAGTAGGACTTGCGCTGCACAGCCAAACACCTAATTGTGATTGGTAACAGTGTCAGTTCGTCTTGGTCTGTGATGTGTTTTACATCGTCATATCTTCTCCCTAGTTGCGGTGCTGTGTACCAGTGGCCAAATCCTAAGCAGATAAGCTACAGATCTTATGTCAGTCTCACCATGCGTGCCATAATTGCGGCTTAATGCTATTCGATTAAAAAACATTGGGAGGGATAAGGCCGAGTAGAGGTCATTGGTTTGGACCCAAGAATTGGAGAACAAAATATGGGGAGTATAGCTACTCTTCAATACGTGCATATGTATTTACACGTGTTATGATGTATATTTGTAATAAAATGTTCCTATGGACAATATACAATATCGATTTTTTGGTATAATTGCATTCGTTTGTTATATCCACAACGACTTGGACCACCCCTCCCCTTTACTCACACAACCCGTATTGTTTTTCCCTTTCACCTCTCAGATGAGTATTCCTGAGACAAAAGAATCACATAACCTTAACTGATCCCTCTGCGTATGTTTTATACTCCTGCTTGATGTTCATAACAGCCCCTGTCTCTTGCTTCCCTTTCCTCCCTCACACACAAACACATTTCACTGTCTCTGTGAGTGACTACATCATAATTGCTATTGCCTCATCTTTCCTCTCATATAGGCCCTACATGTCTTGCTTTCCGTCCTGGCTCTCGTACATCGCTACTGCTTCTCCACCTCGCTCTACTCTGCTTCCCCATCTATAATCTCACCTATATACTGCTGCCTTATCCTGAATCTCGCCTAGAAACTGCTTCTCCATGTTTCATCTCGCCTAGAAACTCATCTCCATCTCTCATCTCACATAACTAGTGATTTCGAATTCTCATCTTTAATCTTATGCACCTAGCATGTACTTCGCTATCTTGCCTCTCACACCAAGCTACGCTCATAGGGTCTATGTCCCCCAGGGTACTGCTGGAACGTACCCTGGGTACGGTCCGGTATACCGGAACGTACCTTGGTCACTATTTGATATGGTTAGGGTTAGGGTAAAGGAGTAGGCGTAGGCGACTCCCTAGACTCGTTAGTGGAGTAGGCGAGGTACGGTCCGGCATATTAGATAGTACCAGGGTACGGTCCGGCATATTAGATAGTACCAGGGTACGTTCCGGCAGTACCCCGGGGGACATAGACCCTCTCAGCCCAAGCTACTGCCTCCATGTCTTGCCTCTTACACCTACGCTACTGCCTCACATCTTTCCGCTCACCATTATACTGTCCATGTCTGCTCACTACTCCCCTATCTTTCACTGACTATATACAGTCCCCGCCTTCCCTTTAACATTTTCTCCTCCCCCTCATTCCGCGCCTATAGATTTTACGCATGAGAGAGTACTCGCTGTAGAATGCTCACTCACCTAACAAAGCAGGTGATGATAACGACGCAGTTGTCGTCAACACGAACGCCCGCCCAGGTTTAAATGGTTAACAAATTGTCATCGTCGACTCTTCAATATACGCGATAATGACACAGCGGGCTCACTCGCTAGCGACGCTTTTGTTTCCATGGCATCGCGGGTGACCGCCGCACCCTTCCCCGTTCACCCCCCCCCCCTTCCACCTCCACCCCCACCCCCGCGCGCACACGAGCATTACGTAACAGGTATTAGCCGCCTTGGAGGCCGCCTAACTCGGCGTTCGCGAGCGCATCCTGTCTCTCTCTCACGCACTATTCTTTAGTGAACGTGGTGGTAGGTAACAGTCGCATGGTGTGCGCAGTAGATTCGGTAGAGAGCGAGTTTCTCTTCGTTGGCTCAAAGGTTGAGTATCGTAAACGACGTCGGCTATCGTCAACGTCGGCCATCGTCAACGTCGGCCATCGCCAACGTCAGCTATCGTCAACGTCGGTCGTCGTCGGTTCGGATAGTACCATAGTAGTCCGTCGCCCAAAAGCGTTGAACGATGCGACGCTGTGTTGCGACGTGTGGCGCGGTACCACGACCGATACGTATTTCATGTGGTCGGCTCGTACCAGGTTTTCTCGCCACGGTGCACGGGGAGCCGCCAGTGAAACTATGTTACAGCACCGCATCGCAGAGTATTGTACACCGCGACGAGTGTAAGGTGGCGACGCCGCTGACGACAGCTTTACCGTTTTCGAAGATACCAGGTACGAGGTTATTAACGAACGTCTTTCTACTTAAACCTCTATTTCAGTGTAACAGTTAATAAAATAGTTACGCGGATCGATCGAATTAAAATGAACGCGGTTGGCTTTTGCATTTGCAACGCCCTGCATTTATAGCTGTTTTAATGAAGTGCAATTAAATGCACGGACAGACGGGCTGGCGGGGACGGGCAGACGAATAGACTGGCGGATGGACGGATTAATGGATGGAATACCATATAGCGTACAGCGTATGTATAATATTGGCGCAGGTCCAAAGGGAGCGCCACTAATCGGCTCCTTGGTTGACGCGTTGAGAAACGGAGTCCTTGGCAAAACACACGAGTTTTTCCAGTTACGGCATCGTCAGTATGGCCCTATCTATAAGGTAAAGTATACGAATGCGCTGCTCTATGTCTTTTTGAAAATCCATATTCCTCCATTTTCCCTCACGTAAACAAAGCTCTTGGTTTAAATACCGAAAGCAAATATGCCTACAAGCTAGATTTATTTCTAAAGATCCGATCACCTTAAATCACTTGATCAACATAATTATTACATTTTAATAATTATGTATTTAAATAACGCTATTTTGTTATAATAACCTAATACCTAAATATTACTCGACTACTATAATTGACTCGTATTTGATCGCTTATATCCGCTGACCAACACACATATTGAGTCGCGTTGCCCGACATCCATCCCCTCATTCCTCACGTTTTACGGGATGGAGCGAGTCGCGGAGAAAGGGCGCAACTGAAAAATTCAAATTATGACGCAATAGAACTGTGTAGACGTAATAACCTTGGAAGCTATGCTCTAGGAGAGGATTGGTGGTTACACGTGCGTGGGCCTCAACGACCCCCTGGATGCCGAGCGTCTGTTTAGAGTCGAAGGACGTTACCCCCGACGCGTCGACATGGTTGCGTGGGAGATGCACCGTCGCCATAGCAACAGAGAGGCTGGAATACTCGTCTTGTAAGTAGGTAGTGACGGAAATCAATCAGGCGTTGATCGTATCAATAATATACCAGGATATCGAGAGGTAGTCAGGGTAGAGTCTCAGCGTCTGATTGAACGAGGGCATAGACGTGAGACAATTAAAAGTGCTCGCGACGCTGTCATATTGACTCAATTAATTGGCGTCAGCTAATATTACCTTACCGAGCAGCTACTATTTATTAGTGTGACTAGAACACATCGGTACTAAATATGATTTGCGTGATTAACTCTTTCAGAAATGGGCCAGAATGGCATCGTAACAGAACAATCGTTAATAAGCCAATGCTCCGCTCTCATGTAAGTAAACCCATTTCTTATTCGCACCTGCTAAACGTTTCTAAAGGAGAAAGTGTTTGGCATGAATAAACGAGTAAGCCGAATGAACTGGCGTACGCATAGGTTCGTTCGAGATTATTGGTTCGGTTGTGGAGTGGAGTATGTCTGACCATATTGTAAATTATTGCTGTCTATTTCCAAGTCCGTCGCACATTATACGCCAATGGTTAACGGCGTCTGTCGGGACCTGGTTGACCAGTGGCGCCATCACCGGATAGGAACAACCGTGGCAGATATTCGTCAGGATTTATTCAACTGGTCGATAGAGTGTAAGTTATCGAATAATAATATATCCAAGGAGAAAGGCGTTTCGACACGATATCATACTAATTCAAGTAACCGATCACGTGCCCCTCACGTATATATATATATATATATATATATATATAATAATAATATATATATGTGTAGTA